CCCCCCCCCCCCCCCCCCGGGGCGTGACAGGCATTTGTGCATTAATCACCCTTGTTAATTTCCTTCCTAATTTTTAAATGACTATTTCCTCTTTATTCTGAACTGGCTTACACACTGTTCATACTTGGGTACCTAAGCCGCACTAACTAATAAACACCAGTAAGGCTCCTGACACCAGTGTATAGGATTACCATAGATCACACTAACTGACCCAGGATAAGTCCCTGCTGGGCTAGAGGTAACTAAGTTCTTTATAGGTGGCTTTGACTTATTTCTACGTTTCTCACACGCAGGGGAAAACGTTTCCGTATAATTAAAAAAGATATTGTTGATGGCCTCAGGCCGAAATTTCGTATTCCCTGCAAAGGAGCAGGTCTGGTTAGTTATCTGCGTGGGTAACCGAGCTCAATATAGGTTCAGGATCAAAGACGTGGGATGGGACAGGAAAAATTTGAAAGGTTTAGATTTAAAAAACGTTCAAATTTAAATGTGAAAATTACTGTTTACCACATAATGTCTGAATATGCATGTCTGGTGTAATCACTGTTATTCACAGGTCGTGGTGAATGGGTGTCATGTCGCCATGCCTTCCTGTTCAGCTTTGTAAACCCAAGTGGCCTGGGACCGACCAAAATGTCGCTCATCACTGGGAGGGAACAGCAAGGCATCCTTTGTAAAGGCAGCTATGGACCAGTGTTTGGCGGTGGGTGGGACCTATGGATATTAAGGAATGCAAAAAAACTTCCTAATAGTAGCAGCAAACTCGGCTACACCTATCAGTGCCCACCAGGACAGCAGAGCACGTTCTTCACAGGTACCGAGAATTTCACTGTCACAGATTACGAGGTGTTTGGACTCCGCCAGTGACAACTACCAAGCAGGTGAAATAGACTCTTACAGTTGGACTCCATGCTTTTTCCAAACGTTATACGAAAAGGTATTTAATGCCTCATTAGGGGTGCTAGGTACTCAGGAGCTGTATCCTACTGAAGGTGTTGTGAATACGTACACTGTAAATGCGACGGAGAAGTACGGTATTATTGTATGAATGAACCAATTAATGTGAGGGTCAATCACTGTGCATCAAGATAAATCGCTTCAACACGAACAATTTTTAAAGTTCGTGTAATCTGCACTATAATCCAGATTTAACTATGATTTAAACAAGGTCTTGAGCTATTAAATTATAAGGTGCGCTTTAGTTCAGTCTTAAGCCAACTACGGATTTAGGTGTGAAAAGCGTTTCGCCTACTGAAACTTTCTGAGGAGTAAACAACTGAACAGTTGTCTTCCAAGAAAATACGTTAGTCACGGCTGAGAAAATAGGGAATCTCCAACTTTCAAAGTTCGCTCCGATGAAATCGACGTGTGAGTAATCAAATCTTTAAACTTTTCGATGTCGGAAAATGCAAACAGCTAATTCCTTTGAGATCAAGAAACGAAAGGGAGGAAATCTTGAAATATAACATTTTTATCTTGTGGCCAGATGCGTTTTCGTGTCGACCAAGAGAGGATAAAGCTTTATCCTCTCTTGCCCTAACCCTAACCCAAATCGTCAAGGTAATACGAGAAAGGGATGCCTATATCACTAGGGTTTTGGGAATGGGGATACCCATATTACTGTGACGGCGGGAAGGGAAAGGACCCGGGGAATAGGTTGGTGCTAGCAAAGGAAGGCAGGAAGGGGAAAACGGCTTCACCTCTCACATTTCCTTTCCATTGTTCCTTGTGCTTTGTCACAAGTCACTCGCGTTTCGCGCTCGCCTCTATGCGAAACAGGAAGAGCCTGAGGAGGAGGCAGGTCGTGGATAATTATGATTTAGTTGGCAAGCCAACTGTAGCCTGCGTCGCCGTGGCTCTCGTGCGCCCGGAACCCCCTTCCCCTCTCCCATTAAACGCCTGCCACGCAGGCTAAGCAGACTGTGAAAGCCGACTGTAAGAATTTTTTTTAGATCGAAGAAATCTTTCCTCACCGTTTAGCAAACAAATGTTGACCCCACATGTCAGGGGCACCCAACGACAATTTTCGGAAAAATATCTGTTCGGAAGACGATTTGAGATCTAGAATTTTCGGAACATTTGTTGCAAAATTTCTTGCTTGCCTGCTTCTCCTAGGATTTTCGAACATCTAAAATTAATTTTCGAAAAGGTAAGTTTTGATCCCTATAATTTTCGGATCACTAGACTTTCAGCTAGGAAATCCGAACAGATGAAAAATTTTTAGGGGATAAAAATATGCCTATATCTACCGTTTAAATACCAAAATTCGTTTACCAATGCTATGTTTTAGTGGTTTTGAACTATATTCTCGTTGGGTGCCCCTGACATGTTGTCACTGCTGTGGGTGTCTGAAATGACAAGATGAATTGCGTGCACACGCTTTATTAAGAAGGAAGGAAGATGAAAGGAATGATTAAAGTAATCTCTTTATTCACTGAAAAATTTTGTTGAGGTATCTTTACTTTTACTGCTCTTTGACACCTTTTTTGACGTCTGTCCTAAACTTTCCTCTTTGAATGATAACGAGCTGATCTGATCAGACGCTTGAATATTTAAACTGTCGCTTATACTTCTTTGTAAGGGCTTTTAGCACGTTTTTGGAGGGCTTATAAACGAAAGGGTTTATCTCCGAGGGGGGCTTATAATCAGAATAGGAAAAGCACTTCAAAACAACTATAGCAATCATAGCAATCATGATGAAAATACCTTATGCATATACTGGTTTTTAATCATAATCAGCTTCAAAACGTCATGATCAATCGAATTCATTCCAATACCTGTGGAGGGGGTTTATATCCGGGGGGGGGCTCATGATCATAATAGGATGTATTTTTTTAATACAGGTAGATGGGTCCATTACTGGGGGCGGGGGGGGGGAGCTTATAAGTGGCAGTTTACGGTAATGAAGATAACTGAATTATCTCACGCAAACCGAAATATCCGACATTTTTTAAAGTTACAAATATTAATTTTTCTGTTCCTCGGGCGTTGTCTAAAACATAAAAATGAGCCTGCATGGCGAGCGGTGGAAAACGAAACAAATCGTACGTATATCCTCTTCCTGATCACCAAACCGAGGTAAAAAGTTGCGATGTGGCGTTACAGGGGTCACCGTGCTTCCATCTGCCACATACCAGATAAGAGCCGGTCGTAACAGAGGGATGGGAACGAGTTTACCCACCTCTCCTGTAATTGTCCTTTGATATTGCCGACGTAACACGTTGCTTCGCAAACGGATTTTGTGGTTTTGGTATTGTGCAGAAGCGCTCAGCAATCTAAACCTTAAACACAATTTTAAAGTTTTTTTTAGGCCAAACGGTTCTTATATTAGAGAAAAGTACCTGAAACTAAAGACTACACTATCCTACTGAAAGTGTCTTAGTAATCCCATTGAAGTGATATTGAATCAGCTGCGTTACTTTCCTTCAATCGTGAAACTAAATGTCGGAGGTAAACGCTTTACCACAAGCCTGCAAACGCTAACAAGAGATCCCAACTCGATGTTAGCAGCCATGTTTTCAGGCAGGCATGAAGTACAGACTGCTGAAGACGGTTCCGTCTTTATCGACTGAGATGGAACTTACTTCTGCTTTATACTAAATTATCTTCGTAACGGAGAACTTATCTTGCCAGATGGTGCTACATTCCTCAAGGAACTCGAAGCAGAAGCTAAGTTTTATCAGCTGCAAGGGATATTGGACGAACTGCAACGTACAGCACCGGCCGAAAGAGTTTGTGGAGTCGGTGATACTGACAAACGAAGGGCACCGAAGAGTCTTGAAAACTTGGTTGCCTATAAAAAGCGAATGGCGTTTGCTATTCCGAGCTTCACGAGATGGCTTTGCTGCTTTAGCGTTTCATTTTAAATGCGACAACAAAGGACCTACGATCACTGTTGTAAAAAGTGGTAGAAACATTTTTGGAGGCTTTACTGAGAAGGCTTGGACAAGTAAGATAAATTGATATGATTATAAATACAAATTAGCTTTATCGAGTAACTCACTCCTGAAGAATGATTGAGAACTTTAGTTCAAATTTTATACATTTCGTATAGCCTGTGTGACAGGCATTTGAAAACCAATGGAAAGTGGCGCAAGAATATATGAAGGGTGCATTAATTTCCCCAATTCCCTTAGCCCTACCTTCAAACGCGGCTAGCCGGCTTTCACCCTGGCTATACACCCGCCTGTCACGCTGGCTACACTCGTGTCCTATAACTTTTATGATCGTCGTTTTATGATTCATTTGTCTATTCATTAATCACCCTTGTTAATTTCCTTTCTAATTTTTAAATTATTTTTTCCTCTTTATTCTGAAGGCTTACACACTGCCTATAACTAATAAACACCAGTGTGTAGGATTAAGGATAAAGGTAACTTCTTTACAGGTTGCTTTAACTTATTTCTACGTTTCTCAGGGGAAAACGTTTTGGTAGAATTAAAAACAATAGTGTTGATGGCCTCAGGCCGAAATTTCGTATAATTTCTATGCAAAGGAGCAGGTGTGGTTAGTTATCTGGTGGGCAACCGAGCTTATATAGGTTCAGGATCAAAGACGTGAAATGGAGCAGAAAATGTTCCCCGGAAAGGTTTAGATTTAAAGAACTTTGAATTATAAATGTGAAAATGAGTGTATAACACATGTAGTGGCTGAATATATATGTCAGGTGTAATCACTGTTATTCACAGGTCGTGTTGAATGGGTTCCATGTCTCCATGCCTTCCTGTTCAGCCTTGTAAACCCAAGTGGCCTGGGACCGACCAAACTGTCGCTCATCACTGGGAATGGAGGGAATGGCATGTATTGTCATAGCGACTGTGGACCAGTGTTTGGGACTGGTGGGTTTGGTCTTTGGTATGACCTATGTATATCAGATAATGCAAACACAAGTCCTAGTAACAGCGTTCTCGGCAACACTTACGAGCTCCCACCAGGACAACAGAGAACGTTCATCACAGGTGCCCAAAATTTCACTGTCACAGATTACGAGGTGTTTGGACTCCGCCAGTGATAACTACCAAGCAAGTGAAACAAACTCTTCTAGTACAGCTAAAATACTCCATGATTTTTCCAAACGTTATAACATAAAGGTATTTAATGCCTCATTAGGGGTGCTAGGTATTCAGGAGCAATATGTTACTTTGGTATTGTTCGGCTTTAATTTAAGAGAGGAGCAAAGTGGGACCAAATCGGAGCCGTAAATAAACTTGGCTAACTTTTTTAAATAGAAGCCGATTTAAAGGTTCTCACAAAGAAATATTTTCTTCACCTTGACTAGTCTCTCAGAGTGCGACTTTTTGCAGTAAAAACTTTACCAATCTTGCGTTTATTCCTATTATTTCTTCAAAGCGTTGACCCTCTTCGTGAAGAAGACTCTCAGGACATTTGTCCGTGTCACAACAGGCGCTGTGTTTTGCTGTCGTTGTTAAACTGTGTCATCCCGAGATGCTCTCAAAAGAACCTTATTATCCGCTTTTCGTTTGGCTTTGTGACCGAATGACTCCAAAACCTATGTTAGGTGCTTTGCCATGCCTATGAAATGCTATTAATGAATTTATCTGGTTTACTCGAAATTTGAATTTGCCTTTGCTTTCCACTCTTTCCGTAGTGTGGCCTCAAAAAGGCCGCGCATCATTTTGTTACTGACTTATCTTGTATGTGTTTCCTACCAGCTGTACAAGGCCAGTGCAAAAGAAATGATAAAAAACTCCAGGACAATTGATATTTCAATTAACAAAACTGTTCCTCAGTTTATACACGTAACTCTCGCTTCACACATACACTTCAAATAAACTCAATATTTTAGCGCACTAACTCACGGGTCCGAGAGTATGCGCAGTATTACGAGGAGTTGACTGTGTCTGCTTTGAGTAAGCTGGAACAAAACTTGTACGCTAAGCTGAATAAGTACATGGTAATCGAGAATGACATTTTAATCGTATATAATAATTTAATGACCGAATATCTTATGAAAACACCCTATATGCCCATCTGATTAGTTTTAGCCGTGAAGTCATTCTTCTTTGGAATGGATATACTTCTGACAGTGTCCTTCATTAACGTCGCCAAGTGTGTTAAATTATGCTTAAGGGTTAATTCGCGCACACTCGCTACAAGGTTGGTAGGGGCTTGTTTGACTTTTCTAAATATTTGTCTTCTTTTTAATTGTAGATGAACTTCAGTTCATCAGTATGCATGAGCACGAAAGCAGCAGTGGATTACATATAAGAGCCACTATCACTATTTTCTTTTACGGGCACATGGTGCCTTTGGTTGTTAGTATGATGACGATCTAGACTGAATAACTGAGATCCAGTGTTTTCTTAGAATTTCGAACTGATCATATGGTAATCTAGTCTCGTGAGTCAATAGTTCCTGTATGACCTAGCATCTACCTAAAGCACAACCTAAGATTGGGATTTTATTTCAAGTTCAGATATCGAAGCCGAAACCCATAGCAAACTGACTTTGTCGGTCCGTTCTTATATCATTATTGAAAATTTTGTTTGTAGGGTATGTATACCGTTTTGTAAATTCTTAATTTAACGCGAGAAAAGGCGAGTCATTTAAAGAAGTTGAAAATGAACCTCTCAGGATCTTGTTTGTTAACGGAAAGAGATGATGTAAAAAGTCACATAACTACAATGATGACTTGCAGCAGAAGAAACGAAAATAATAGCTTATTCAATGTCATAATCGTGATGTCTCGTACCCAGATGTCTCTCTATTGATGACAATTGGGACCAGTTAAGCAAAGACGGTTTTGAGCGATGAACGTCAACCGGAAGTGGACTCTTTGCATTCTTGAACAGCTGTTATGACTAAACATTCAGGGGAATCGTCTTTATAAGAGTAAAGACACTTCTGTTCGCCAGGTCTTTTTGCTTGGAAAAGGGGAGGGACTGGAAGGTAAAAGGACTTGTGGAAAAGGTTGGTGCGCCAAAAGGAAAACGGATTTACCGGCTCCTTAATTCCATGATCCCTTAAGTTTCGTCACCAGACACTCGCGTTTTACCCTCGTCTCTATGCGAAATAGGACGCGCCTGAGTAGGAAGCAGGGCCGGCGGGCCATGGATAGTTTTGATTTAAGTTGTCAAGTCGACTGTAGCCTGCGGGGCTCTCTCGCGCCCGGAATCTGCCTTCCCTCTCCTATTAAACGCCTGCCACGCAGGCTAGCAAGACTGAAAGCCGAGTTTTAGATCCAAGAAGTCATTCCTCACCGTTTAACAAACAAAGGTGATCCAGCATGTTGACCCACAGGCGGCCCAAGCTCAGTGTGTGAGTTTAATCGTTAACACATGTAGTTTCATATTGCGTAATTTAAAATGGCCGTGAATATAAAGGATTTGTATGGGAACATGTGGAAATTCAGGTAAAAGATTCAAATCGATAAATACTCGCTAGAATGTTCAATAAAATACAGCTTACCGTATTTACTTTGCTTGTTTTTGTTTGCTGTGTGGTTATTTTTTCCGATCCATTGCGATTTAAGCGATTTCCTTAAACCCCGAGTTTCCACTGTAAGAGAAAGGACAAGGCTTCACACTCCAGTTCGGGATGCCCCATGCGACAGGGGCACCCAACGGCAATTTTCGGAAAATATCTGTTCGGAAGACGATTTGAGATCTAGAATTTTCGGAACATTTCTTGTAAAATTTCTTGCTTGCCTGCCTCTCCTAGGATTTTCGAACATCTTCAAAATGGTATAATTACCCATTTTAAACAGATTTTTACCCTAAAAAAGGCCACCTAGAATTTTCGGGAGCCTTTTCCTGGCTGAAATTTTCGAGAAGGTAAGTTTTGATCCCTATAATTTTCGGATCACTAGACTTTCAGCTAGGAAATCCGAACAGATGAAAAGTTTTTAGGGGATAAAAATATGCCTATATCTACCCTTTAAATACTAAAATACTTTCAACAATGCTATGTTAAGTGGTTTTGAACTATATCGTCGTAGGGTGCCCCTGATAGAGGGGGGCGTAAGGGTTTGCGGTGATGCGGTTTTGCGTTATTTTTGGTGCGGTTTTGCGGTAATTTTTATTTTAACTCGCGGTATTACGGTTTCAAAACACTAAGCGGTTTGCGGTTATTACAACCTTTAAGTCGCGGTTTTCGGTGAAAAAAAAAGTGTCTGCGGTGATAACACTCTTTTGAACGGTCGACATCCGGTTGTTTTGCAAGCGCTAGCCAAGTGTTTGGTTTTACAACGCATCAGGGTTCATTATATCAGCTTACAATTTAACTCTGTAGTTTGCAATTACGGCCTTTTCCAGTTAATACTTAATGTGATTAACCGTTTTGGCCAATGATGCGTCGACTTCGTGAAATTCCATGCCGGTGTCACAGTGATATGTGTATTCCCGTGATATGTGTATCCCTATACACATATCCTGGTGATATGTGTATCCCGGGTGGGGATACAATAAACACTGATGCTCATCCACGACACAATAAGGAAATATCTTCTCTTGCTAAAGGAAATGTCGTCGATATCATCTAACATAACTAGTAACACAGCTAAGGTTAAGACAGCGGGAATCAAACAACATGCAAAGGTGGAATATTGTGGCGCTCGCAGAAGGGATACAAATATCACTGACCGGGCGAAGAGATATGTGTATCCCCTGTTTTTTCCTCTCTTGCTAAAGGAAATATCGTCCATATAATCTATCAGAACAACTAGTAATACAACTAGGTTTACAGGAATCAAACAACTTAAAAGGTGGATTATTATGGTGCTTGCACGGGGGGATACACATATCACTGGACCAGCGCAGACATATGTGTATCCCCTCTCTATTTTTTGACTTTTCGAGTTATCCCTTGCTGAATGAAATTTTGTCAGTCATACTTATTTAACGCGACTAGTGACATATAAATTATAATCACGTTGTACAAGGAGAGGAGCGAGAACGAATGTTTACATCAACATTGCGGCCCACGAAGAAGTAAACTCGCCAGAGACAGCTTTGCGATTATTTTGTCTTGAATCGTTGCTCTTTTGTCGATTGTATTGCTCGTAATCTTGAATCATTTGTACTCCCTTTGACGATGATTCGCAAAATTCACAAAAACAACAGAAATAAAACCGTCAGTTGTTTGGAGGGGTGGGGGGTAGGGGATACACATTTCACTGGCAGCCATATTGGAGGGATACACATACGGTCAGTGTAAAACGAAGACTGCGGACTGCGGACTGCGGACTGCAGACTGCGGACCAGGGGTAAAATGAAGAATGTGTGTGTAAAATGCAGACTGCAGACCAAGAGTAAAACGCAGACCGGGGTAAAATGCAGACCGAGCATAAACTGTAGTCGTGGAAGGGTTCAAGGGCAAAAAAATCCCGCAAATACATGTAAACGAACACTTACTTGACGACATCTGCTTTCACAAATCCATTCCTTTCTTCTCTGGAACGTCGTCGACGACCCGAAAACATAATCGCAATCTTGAACCTTTTTTCCGTCCGAGAGACTTCACACTTCAACTTTGGATGCGAAGTTTTCGATATACGTGACCAGGGACTGTCAACTGGTACAACCATGATGTTTACGCTTAAATGAAAGCTGCTGACCCAAAATACTATACAGGAAGAATTATGGCGATAAAAAAGGGAGTAAATCATTCCAACATCAAAGAAAGATGTTCTGCAGGAAATTTGGATGACCTTCTATGAAAGTATTGCAAATCAAGGTACGCAGACTTAAGCTGTTCGGATGTTCATTGAAACTTCAGGCGAATGGGCAATGCACTTCGACTACCAAGCGAAGTGTGTAACTGATACCGGCTAGCTATTTCACCGATTTGGAGAAGAAGGAGTACAGATGTTTAAAAAAGTCTACAGTCTTTATTCTGCATTTTACCCCGGTCTGCGTTTTACTCTTGGTCTGCAGTCTGCATTTTACACTCAGTCTGCATTTTACCCCTGGTCCGCAGTCTGCAGTCTGCATTCCGCAGACTGCGTTTTACACTGACCGGATACACATATCACTAAGGATATGTGTACGGGGATGCACATATCACGGGATACACATATCACTGTGACACCGGATGTTAACTCGTACAGCCGTACAGTCTCGTGTTCTCGTTGCTTTGATTCAATGCGCGACAATGGCAACTGAGGTCGTCGAGG